GTGTGTGTGTGTGTGTGTGTGTGTGCGTGTGTGCGTGCGTGTGTGCGTGTGTGTGTGTATGTATATGTATATGAATAGGTAAAGGTATATGAATATGAATATGTATATGAATATATATATATATATATATATGTCAAACCCGAACGAATCCTTGAGGTATTCGCTAGATCCGAGTCGAAATTCATTTCCCATACTGAAATTCTTTAAAAATAGCAATTGTAAGCCTAGTGATAACATAAACATGTGGATTTGAAGTATCATCTGCACGGTCATGTACGGACAAGCACACGCGGATAAAAGCAGTCATACACACATATATTTGAAAAACTGCTAACATAAACACAAGCTATGTACGTGCAACTTCACATTTGCTTGTGCAAAACGCATGTACATACATAAATCGACTTACCGATCCAAACACACAGCTTCGCCCTTGGTTAGATCACCTTCCCTGTAGTGACCGGGGATGCATTTCTTGTAACAAGTATCCACCATTCTGTAGCAAGTGCCCGAGAAAATGATACCTGAATTTGAATAATGTGGTTCATCCAGAAACACCATAGGTACTTTTTTTACGTACATGATATAGTGGCAGTTCTCAGATGTGATACCTTACCATAGGACACACTTTGTTAGATATATACTATCCAGCGATATACATATGTGCAAAAACATGTACAGGTAAATGTTGTACAGGTAAATGTGCACATACATGTCAGAACCTTATACACTGCAATGTAAGATCTAGATTGGCAAACGACGACGAATCAGAAACTTACTACATCACACAAGCTAACGATCCCTGAACCATGTTATATTCAATAGATGGCACTACTGCAAACCTTCTCAGATATTGTATCCTCCTTAAATTTATACAAACATAGCTAGGTTGCTCTGTGAACAATTATAAAACACCCGATTCATGCTGTTGATAAGTAAAGCATTGTACTTCATATTTGGCTTACAAAGAATCGTTTACAACAAGAACACCATTATTTGTATGGCTCTAAATACAGCCGGAATAAAGATATTAATATCATGCCACTACGTACCTATAAAGACTCCAGGTTGTAATATGGAATAGTACTCCGAAAATAGTAAGCATAATGATCCTGAAGCATATTATGATGACTTGAATTCAACACACGACATAACTATCGAAGACATTGAACTATGATCTACATAGAAATTGAGTTCACCGCATACCTATGGGATGCTATATACAGTAACAAAAATTAGAAATTGAACGACCACATACCCGTTGAAGAGGAGGGTCATTGCCTCCATCTCCTGCTCGGCCATCAAAGCGTTTTGACTCATCTTGATATGACTCAGTCTTAATATAGCAAGTACGTGTTTAGTATATAGAAATGATATAACTTGCTTTGTTTATAGTCATGTACAGAGAAGCTCTCTATTATTATATATGGTCAAATAGGCCAAACGTAGAATAATTCTCCACCACACTTTTCGGCATGTGATTGAGATTCACACACACGTATTTGAAAATATGTACCCACAGTCCCACATCGGAACTCCGTAAATAACTGGGTCTGGGACTCTGAGAGAAACTAGTCTGGGGACTGGCTGGGTCATGGGTGCGTGGATTTATTTTTAGAAGCGAAGAGAGAGAGAAAACAAATAGTTCGGTACCTCTTATTATTGATATGTATGCATGACCGGAAGTCTTCCAAGACTGATGATTCCCCTCGGCGGCCCCCTCGATAATAGAGAGAAAAGGAAAATATGGTCATCCCCCTCTACAAAGAGAGAGAGAGATTAAATATCACAACGGACTAATAAAGTCCGTTTGTATTTAGGACATATAGTGGAACGGACTCTTATTAGATAAATATCTACGTCCGAGGACTATATAGTCTCAGGCCTAGCCCTCCAAGCAAGATATTTGTATGTATTTATTTGTGTTAGATGTATATACTAAAGACCAAGTCCCGGAAATATCGTCTGCAGACATTCATTTGTTATTTAAGCCTCGAAAATCGTAGCCTGCGAAAAAGACGTGTACTCATAAGGGACTAGCTGTGTAACGGTATAAAACGCATTCTCTCGGTCGCTCCCGTGACCATTTCGTCACTCTCTTGAATAGAATATGACATATATATATATATATAAATATATATGTCATGACCCTCTAAAGAAACAAAAATAGGCTGACGGACACAAGTCCGCAGGAATATATTCATTTATATATATGTGTGTGTGTGTGTGTGTGTGTGTGT